AGGTTGGGGGAAGGGAAAGTGGTGATAACAAGAGCAATAAAAATAACAGCAGCAACAGAAAATTATTATTTTGTAAATCTTCCCAACATGCACAGCAAGAAACATATGTCTGGTTCATAAACCTTTAATCTAAACGTAGACTTATTTTTTTGGTATGCAAGGCACAGGACATACAATTTTGTCTATGTTTGATAAGAGTTTACACACCAGCAGAGGAAAACATATATATACAAAAATAAAGCATAATACAAAGGATATGGATATGTGATAGAAACAGAATTATACAAGTATCTAGGCTAGGAAGGACAAATCACTTCTGGGTGGAGTCATGAGGAGGGATTTCATGGTGGAGCTGACAAATGAGCTGGGCCTTAGAGGACAGTGGGCTTGTTTTGGGAAGCAACCAAAAGAAAAATATAAAAATGAATGACTTAAACTAAGGTAGGGAGGCAGAGAAGCACAGACTGACTTGATAGAAGCATAATGTAAGGGTGAGGTTACTGAATGTAAGGTTGTAATGTTCAGATGCTATCCTTTGGAAAGTAATGCTGCAATAGCTAGTGGGCCTGGAGTCAGGAGGAACTGAGTTTAAATGCTGTCTCAGACATTTATTAGCTGTGTGACCCTGGGAAAGGCACTTGACCTTCCAGTCTCTGTTCTGTCATCTGTAAATAGGAATAATAACAACATCTATCTCAAAAGTTTGCATGAAATGTGCTAACATTTGTAAAAAACACTTTGAAAACCTTAAAACAATTTATAAATGCTAGCATTTATTAAAGTGGAGAACTAACGGAGATTTTGAGCCAAAATGATAAAAATGCTATCTTAGGAAAATTAAACTGGTAGAAGTATGCAGGGTGGACTGAGGCAGCAGAGAGAATAATCAGCGATCTCGGAAGTAGCCCTCCTATGTGGGGAAATTGGGGCTTCAACTAGTATGGCAGCATTGAAACTAGAAAAAAGGAAGAATACAAAGAAACTTGGCAACTGAATATTTAGGGTCTCAGGGATTTAAGAAGACTGAGAAACTTCTAGTCTGTTGGCACCATTAATGGAAGTAGATAATGGAAGAGTTGATGCTTTTTTACTTAGGCAAGTAAGAAAGGTGAAAGGATAAACTGATGAAGTCAAGGATAAACCATCTGAATCTGAAGTTACTACAGTACTTCCATACAGGTGGAACAGGCAGTTGGAAAAGTAGAAGAGCTCAGCAGAGAGGTCAGGTTTACAGCTATGGAAGGCAGTGGAGATAGGGAAGTGGATGAGATTTCCAAAAGAGCAGTTGTAAAGAAAAAAGAGAGGGGGTTAAACATATGACCTAACTGATACCTAGGATCTAACTCACACTCCTGCATTGAGTATATAACCACATACTAAACAGAAAATGTATGTATATGTGTGTGTACAAATGTATATATGTGTGCGATACAAGAAGTTAATACATCTTTAAGTCACTTTAAAATATTATTTATTCCTAAAAGAGAAATACCTAAAAAGTTCTGCTAGAATTACTGATTTTTCTGGTAAGCAAGAAACATGACATTTCTATTCTGGTGGGGTTTTGGCTAGAAAAAATGGGGAAAAAAATACTACAAAAAGATCCATTTTCCTTGAGGGCAGGGGTTACATCTCCAATACAGTGCCTGACACACAATATGTATTTAATAAATAACACTTGCTGATTGATATGGATAACAAAACTTCTATTTAATAACAGCTTTTGTAATTCATAACAAAATAAAAAAGTGCATTAATCTCTCCAAACCTCAGTTTCTTTATCTGTAAAATAAGATGGGCCTGGATGACTTCTAAGGTCTCTCTTTTCAGTTCTAAATCTATGATCCTATGATTGTTTTTAATTAAAGTACAATTATATAAGCAAAATGTCAGAACAATGAATGACAATCAGTGGAATAGGAAATTCTTAATGACTTTCCACATCAGAATGAAATCCAAATTTTTTTTGTTGGGGAAAAAAAAGAGACCAATACACTAAAAACAGAGCAACATTTAATCCATTAAGAATTTCTGCAGTGTAATATGTTTTGATGGGTCCAGCTGATATGTTATTAAATATAAACTATCAATTATATTCAAGGTTTTAAAAAATGGATTAGTACTAAGAAATCACTGAATTAACTTTTTTCTCATACTTGTTATTAGGTCTGTTTTACAGCAGGAACTACAGTCGTTGATAAAACATAAGTAGCAGAGCTCTCTTAAAACCCTTCAAACAGCTTTCTTTGTTTCAAACAGATTTTGTTTGGAACCTCCAGATCTTCTATTCTTACTTTTCACTTTTCCAAGAGACAAGTGCCTGCTTCCCTCACCACAATGGCAAAGCACACTCACTATGTCCAAAAAGGTTGGTAAACAAGAAATACAGATGAAGAAAAACATATGACAGAAATAAAAAGTAACCTTTAATATTTTAAAAAATATAGAACTTCACTAGTCTGAGGGCTGCAAAAATGAGATACTTCAAAGTTCTTATGTAAAAAAGTTTTCTAACTAGGACTTCTACTTACATGCTGTGATAAATTATGTAAACCAACTAAAATACATTAAGTTTACAGAAGTCAAAAATTCAACTCACTAAGTACAGAATAAAAATCAGTACTGTGTTTAAAACCAAGCCAAAGCAATTGCCGTGACACTGTAGAGGCAGAGACTGAAACACTAGCTATAGAAATGGAACTGAAAAGTCACTAAATATAAAACGTGCAGTTTGAACCAATAGCGTCATTAACGTATCACAAATGATCCCTTTTCTCTTCCCATTCAAATATACTGTGGTCACAGTTACAAGAGAGACAAATGAAGAAATGAAGGTACAACACTTTAAAATATTAAAATCAACTATAATAAACCAACTCTTCAATGTCTTGAGGTCTGCCCAATTATCTTTGCCTTTTCAAGAACCATTATTTCATGATTTCATAATAAAATAAACAGCATGGAAAGATTTATAAAGCCATAAAGTTCTTCTCCCTTAAAATAAAAATACAAATTGCCAGGCCTGGTCACATTTAGGATTTTCTACCTTAATTTTAAAGTAAACAAATTTACTAAAGTGGTTTTTCATTCCTATCACCCTAAGTTTTAAAAATCAAGAGTGTTAGAAACTTAATCACAAAACAAACCTAGGGCAACTATCATTTTGCTAGAACAGGTTAAAACAGCTAAGTTAAATGATGTGAAGACAGTGATGTTCATCATATTTTGAGCTGCATTTTACCCCATTACTTTGTCAGTAGTTTCAACTCACATAATTAATTAACTTGGTAAACAAAGACTAGCTAAGTTTGACATCAAGCCTGATTCAATGAAATAAAGCTTAAAATGTAGTTCTTTCATTTAAACTGAAAGCAATAAAATGGGAAATGGAAATGTGATCATATATCTCTCTCTATAAAATATGAGGCAAACTAATATGCATGAAATCTAAGCCCCAAGTTTCACCACCCACGGACAAGTTTTATCTCCAATGTATTGCTCAAAATAAAGCCACAGCCTTCACCATACACCGTTTCAGTTTTGAGATGTGGAAAGATGCAATAGGTTGTCAACTACAACCATTCACACAAAAATTTGCTTTCCATTCTGATGAACTCTGTGTGGTACCATTACTTTTGGCCTATTCAAGGCAAAGTTCCACGTTATCTCTGGATTGCCAATAGTCTCTCCTTATTTGGCTAACATCGAGAGATCCCAATCTGACTCTACTATAAAACTTTAACATGCACAAAGCATCCATTTTGAGCAAAGTCCCTAGTTTCCTTTCCCCCACCTTCGGGGAGGGGGGGGGGCCGGCGAAAATCACGTCCCGATTAGTATATCTTAAGAAGATCTCTCGTCCCCCACCCCTCGCCGAGACCAATTCCAGGACAATTTAGTGTCACTGATGGGCAAGTTTCGAAAAAACCAACACACAGGGGAGGGAGGGAAGAGACTGGGGATGAAAGGTCCCTGACACTGCGGCAAAATCCTCACGTAACAAACTTCTCAGTGAAACCTTCCGGAAGGGAGGTGGGAAGCACTTAAATGCACCCCCCCACCTACCTACTCCATCTCCACCCCTACAAGGAGAAGTGCGGACCGGGCTGGAGGGATCACACCCCTGCGCTCCCAGAACCGGGGGCGGGAGGGCAGGCAGGAAATCGCCCTGGGCGGGAAGCTCCAAATGCCGGGGACCCCGCAGCCGTCGGCTTATCCAACAGCAGGCCAGTGCCCACTCAGCGCCCCAAGTTCCCGGGCGGCTTCCCCCTCCCCCATACATTATCAGACAGTGAGCTCTGCGAGGGCAGAAGGGTTTATTCTGCCTTTCTTTGTAGCCCCGGCGCTTAGCGCAGGGCTTGGCACGTAGTAGGCGCTTCGTAAATACTCCCAGACTTCACTACACAACACAGACTGCTGCGGGGAGGGGAGGGGTAGAGGACTGAGAACCCCAAGTCTTATGCCCTGAGGGGGGAGATCCCTAAGTGCTCCCACCACCCCCTTCACTTTGCACACCGAAGAGGGATCTCCAAGCGCTCTCACCATCCTGATAACAAGGCAAAAACAGCGCCTGACACATAGTAGGCGTTTGATAAATGCTGATGGGTTGACTAGGCTGTACGCACCGGTTGGGGAAGGGAAGAAATGGGATCCCCAAGAGCTTTCGCCATCACCCCCTTTTTCTCTCCACTCCCACGCCTTGGACCCACCCAGCGCTCCCCCCACCCCCGCCGATTTCGACTCCGGGCCGGCACGGGGGTGGCCGTCCTTCCCGGTCAGCCCTAGGTCTCTCTCCGGCCCTCGAAGGCCGGCCAGTCCCCGAATCGACCACTCAGTCCGGGGTCTCCCTCGGGCCCCCTGGGGTGGAAGGTGGTAGGGCAGGGGAGGAGGCCGGGTCAAGCCCAGCCCGGCATGAATTAGGCGCCTACGGTGTGCGTGCGCCTCCCGCGGGGCCCGGGCCGGGCGCTCCGGGGCCTCCGGCAGCGGCCGCTCGGACAGACCTGGTGCAGGGCAGTGAGTCCGTCCACATTGGCGTAGTTGATGTCGGCGCCGCGGTGCAGCAGCTCGAGCACCTCGTCCGTGTCCCCGCTGGAGCAGGCTGCCAGGAAGACGGCGCCATCGTCGAACTTCACCTTGGTCTTCTGGCGCTTCACCACAGGCGGCTCGAGGTCCGTCTCGGAGCCGATCCAGCGCTTCAGCTGCTCGTTCCGCTTCTGCTTCGCGTCCGCCATCTTCATCCCCCTCTCCGGCCGCCGGGTCTTCTTATCGCGAGGGGAGGAGGGAGGGAGAGGGAGGAAGGGAGGGGGGAAAGGGAGGGGCGGCGGGCTGGAGGTGGAGGGGGGCGCGAGCGCGGGGGCGCGCGCCGGGGAGACTAGGAGGAGGAGGAGGAGGAGGAGGAGGAGGAGGAGGAGGAGGAGGAGGAGGAGGAGGAGGTGTGGGGAACCAGAGAGGAGGCGGGAGGAGGAGACGCTCGCCCGGGACTTCCGGTATCCCACAGAGCACTGGGGCGGCGCGCACCTGGCGGGCCTCTCTGGTTCAGTCCTCACACAAACACTCCCGCCCTCCCCGCCCCCCCTCAGGGTATGCCACTACCAGTCACCAGCAGCCTCTGCAGCGTAACCTCGCGAGAGCTGAGCGGGGAGGCGCCCTTTGGCCACTGCGCATGCTCTGCCTCTTTCTCTCTCCCGCCCCTTACTTGAGGAGGAGGAAGCGAGGGGTGACCGCCGAGACCGGGCGCGGTGGCTTTCTGAGGGAAGAGGGTGGGGCTTTCAGAGCCCCGGAACCGGGGCGGTGAGGAGGAAGGGAAGGGGTGGGGATTGTGTTTCGGGGCCGCCCCGGGGCCGAGTCAGGGGAGGATTCACCTCGTCCCGGGGTCGAGCGTTGGCTCTGCAGAGGCGTCTTAATCCAAGACGTGCAACAGCCTTGGCTGTGGTGTCCGGAAGACCGAGGTTCGAATCCTGTCTCAGACAGTCCACGACTCTGTGTGACCCTGGGCCGGTCATCTAACTGCCCTAGTTTCCTGGTGTGTAAAATGAGGATAACACCTACTTTCGCAGGGTAGGGAGAACAAAAAAGGTTAACCTTTCTGTGCTTCAGTTTCATCATATGTAAAATGGGGATAATAATAGCACCTACCTCCCAGGGTTGTTTTTGAGGATCAAATGTGAAAACCTTAAACCGAATTAGAAATGCTGGCAGTTGTTATAGAAAGACCTGGGTGCAAATACCCAATTCTAATAACACAGCCTCACTGAGTTGTGAGGATCAAATAAGATAATTTTACATAAAGTGCTTTGCAAACCTGACATCATCGTGGTTTCAATTTTAGATGTTATTATTCTTATAGGAAGACCTAGCTTCCAATACCACAGCTGATGACCCATAACTTGTGATGCTGGCCCAGTCATTTAACCTCACAGTTCCTCAGTTTCCTCATCTGTAAAATGAGGAGGCTGGACCAGATGACCTCTCAGGTGCCTTCTAGCTTCAAATCTGGGGTCACTATGATCCCTCACTGTAATAAAAATTATTTGTAAAGCACCTTTCATCTTACAAGGCCATGCCTCTTTGATATATGAAGGGTATTACCTCGATTTTATGGGTGGAAAGTCTCAGAGCTTAATCTCTGAATCGCTTAAATCTCTGGTATTTATAATATAGGCTTTAAGTTCTATGTAGCTCCTTTCGTGCATGATCTCATTTGGTTGTCTTGTAGCAAAAGCCTGTGCAGGACATAAAGTATTGTCATCCACCTTTTGCAGATGAAGAAACTGAGGCCCAGGGTGGTTAAGTGACTTGGCTCAGGGTCACACAGCTAGAAAGTGTCAGAGGTGAGCTTCGAACTGAAGTCTCTCAAGGAGCTGATTTAGGGCTTTTCTACTAATACTGTGCCTCCAACTTGAAGTAAAATATATTATTCTTTCCCAGTTTATCAGTGTATGATCAAGATTATAGGTCTAGAACTATAAGGTCATTTAGAGGTCATCTTGTCCAACTTCTCATTGAATAGATGATGAAACCGGTCTAAGGGAATTAAGTTAATTGTCTAACGCTTCAGAGGCAGTATCACAGGTGAGATTAAAACGAGAGCTTCTGACTCCACAGCCCATGCTCTTGCCACTGAACCTCATGGGGACTAGATGATGGCATAGGCCTACCTCTGACCTACCTAACCTAATCTGTTTCAGTCAGTCAGTCAGTAAACATTTATTAAGTGTTATGTGTCAGGCATTGTGCCAAATAAGCACTGGTTTCAATTCCACAAGCATTTATTGAGAGGCATTGCACCCTAGTAGGGAGCATTAAGAGTCTGGGAGACCTGGGTTCAAGTCCTTCTCCTCTGACTTACAGGCTCTTGACTGTGAGAAAGTCACAACCTCTCTCAGTTCCCCTAAGCAACTTAAATTACTGAACTAATACAGAACAGCATTGGTAAGAGTTTCTTCTCTAGGAGAAATCACAAGTCCCACCACCCCAAAAAACATTTTCCCTTTTATGCACTGGACATTGTGAACCTCGCCCTCAAGGAGGGAGAAACATAGATAATTAAACAGGGAATTGAGACAAAACAAATAAAAAAATTGGGCTGGGGCTAACAATTGTGGGAGGTAATAAGGAAGTATTCACATTCAGAATAGACTTCAATGTGAGGGGGCAGGTAGGTCAAATAAAGGAGACAGGTGGCTTAGTGGATAGAGAGCTGGGCCTGGAGTCTGTAAGACCTGAGTTCAAATTCAGTCTCATACATTCACTAGCTGTGTGACCTTGGGCAAGCCACTTAATCTCTATTTGCCTCAGTCCACTGGAGAAGAAAATGACAAACCACTCCAGTATCTTTGCCAAGAAAATGGAGTAGGACACAGGGCAACAGAGGTCAGATAATCCTAAATCTCAAGTTCAGGTGCTTTATCACTAGTAACACTCAGTTTCTGAAATAACTTTAGTAGCCCACTCCTAATCATACTAGACCAGAGATAGAGAAGACAAAGTACCAAACTTGTACATAGGAAAACTCAAATTCCTATCTTGTCCCTGAAACACTAAGACCATGTACTGAAACTCAGTACTTTGTGGAGTTATGAGAATCGTATGAGATAATGTACTTAAAGTGTTTTGAAACAGTTATTTCTCCCCATTATATTATATAGACTCAGAGTTGGATCTGAGGGGTAATTTTGTCTTAGCTGCACTTAAACAAAATCCTTTCTTTTTCTTGCATCATTAATAACATATGGTTCTTTACAACACACAGAAGCATGTACTTTTTCTCATATGTGGTAGCATCATGTAGACCTGGGTTCAACTCCAGCCTCTGATCCTGGGCAAATCATTTAACTTCTCAGTATTCTAGGCAACTCTCTAAGACTACAAGAATCAGAGGAAGTGACAGTGTGCTTGAGTCAAGAAAAGTTCCTTTGGGAATGAGGTGACAGGAATTCTGTTTCATGTGATCTTTACAGCAAATCTGGAAAGTCAGCAGTGAAAGTATTATTGCACTATTATTGCACAAATGGGGGAAATAAGGCACATGAGATGCAGACTCTCCCAGAATCAGTCCCATGATCTCCCATTTAGGAAATTGCAGAACCAAGATTCTAATCCAGTTCCGAGTGTGGTACAGAGGGAAGCATGGTAGATTTGGAGTCAAAGGACTTGGGGTCTGCTCTATCCACTGCAGCACCTAGCTTCCCCTATGTACTTAATTTTTAAAAAATTATGTTACTACAATAATACAAATCCTTAATAAAAATTTTTTCTCACATTCAGAGTTAGCACTGATCAGATTTAATACCACAAAGTGGTAAAAGGATCCCTTAAAGGCTATGCCTAGAGCATCTGCCATACCTTCAAAAGGCCTCATCAGCTCTCTGGATCATGGAAAGGAATCAGAAGAGGTGCTGTCTTGTTAGCTATAGTGGTCTCCACCTAAAAAACAAACAAATAAAAAAGAAAAAAAAACCAAAATAACCCAGGGAAGAGCCAAGATCATAATTTAGCTTTTGCTAGCTGTTTTCCAAGAATATTTGATAGCTCTTAAAAATACCTGAAGAAATAGCCCTGAATACCTGTTTGGAGACAGAGACAGAATCAAAGGAGTTGGCCGTGCCTCGTTTTTAACTGTTGCTGTAGGATGTAAAATAATTCAAAATCCAGAGGAAATACTCACGTAGTAGTAAGAGCACAACAGAAAGAGCTAGAAGGCTTACGTTTTGAGTCCTATTTCCCAGTCCAGCTTTTGAGTGCAACTTCCTACTTGTGGTTGTCACTTAATCACTCAGCCTTATTTTCCATGGGATAATAATTCTTTTATGTAGCTAATAGTTTTGTGAGAAAAGTCCTTTTTAAACTTTTTAAGGCCTTATAAATATGTTATTAGTAGTAAAATATAAACTACAGTGAACCTGCTTTTGAAGACTGCCTGTCAAAAGACAACCATGGGTGATGTACATTTACAGGTTTTAGTTTACTTTTTCTCTTAATCTCAGTTTCAGAATGTATTCCATGCTAGTCCAGTGTTAATATTGATGGAACTGTTTCTATGTTGCCACTTACTCTTATATAGGTGGTACAGTGGATAGAGTACTGGGCCTCAGGAATATCTGAGTGCAAATTTGGCCTTGAACACTAGCTGTGTGATCCTGGACAAGTCATTTAACCCTTATTTGCTTTTGTTCCTCATCTGTAGAATGGGGAAACACTGGAGAAGAAAATGGCAAACCCCTGCAGTATCTTTGCCAAGAAAACCCCGTGGACAAGTCCATGGGGTTACAGAGTCAGACACAACTGAACAACAACCTTATTACAGCATCGTAAGAAAAACACTGTGAAATTAAGTATTACATAAATGTTGGCTGTTATTACTAAAGGAAATTTGCCTCATTCATATATAATACATTAAGGAATAGCTAATTCAACAGCAATGAAGAACAGAAACTTAATTATGATTCCTTCATAGGATTTAGACCTGGAAAAGACCTTAAAAATTGCTACCCAGTTCAACATCTTTTTACAAATAGCTTGTCTGGGCCTTCGTTTTCTTAAGAAACTGCCCTAAATCACAGGTAGTATCAGAATCAGGATTAATCCATGTCTTTCAGATTTCAAACACTGTTTATTGTGTAATACAGCTTCTTGTTATACTTTTATGTAGCCTAAGCTCTAGCTGACTCTCCCAATCCCTACCCAAAGAGGGAGGTAAGGTCTCTTGAACCAGATTACTCCCCTTGGGGTTAAAACCCTGAACAATTGGAGGGCAATTTTTCTCTAATAATGTTTGCTCATGAGCCATCCAGTAATTTCTCCCCAGTATCAATTACCAGTGATT